CGCTGCCTTGTAGCATTTCCACATGGGCAATCTGTTACTTTATAGCATTAGAATCTGCATTTGATTTCTTACTCTCTTATCTGATTCCTCAGGGATTCAGTAAATTCAGCAGTAATTTACGACTGCCATTCTCTTTGGGCTTTGACACATACAAAGTCAAGGATTAAAATCAGGCTTCTAAAGCAGTTACCACTTGGAGTCATCTGCCCTGCCCTTCTGACAGAGATTTCCAGTGCCACCATAGTAAATCCAAAAACCCAGCAGAGAAACTTCTGAGCATCTCAGACCTGCTTATTAAGGTACATAGATCCACTTTGAATTTAATGCTTTGCTGAGAATGGCAGCAGTACAGAAGCTGATTAATAAATCATGCAGCAATCTTTGTCAGAGATGGGGCAACAGCTTGGGCAGCATGCATCTGATTTTATTCTGCTTCTTCATGTGTATGAACCCTTGGACTTCATCAATGTTTACAAGTTAGTAAATGAAAAACCTTCCAAAAGCAATTGTTTCAGAACAACAGGGCTACGTTGGATGCTTTGCAGGCAATTATTTTACTGAGTGCTTTACAGACTCTCAGTTTTTGTTGGTTACTAGGTTTTTTTTCACTTTTTTGAAATTTTCTTTGCCACAAATGAAGCAGAAATGAGGGTTTGCTGCACATCCTCCTTCGAACCCCCATAAGAACTCTGTTAAGTCACACTGGAAAATATCTCTTCTGGACACTTGGGTGAAATTATATAGCAAACTCAGGAGTATGATATAGAAAATTATGTAGGCTCTTACTTACATAGTTTTATTAGACAAAGTGAGCAGTCGAAGTAGTTGTTGATTTTAAATGATAAACTTTTATTCTGAATATACTGTTTTTGCACAAGAATTAACACAACAGTTCTAGGATTATAAACTTTTTATAATATTATTATACAAATTTTTACAAAAAATTATTTTTCCAGGCTTGTCAAGTTCCACAAAAGTGTCAAGAGAACACAAGAAAAGGGAGAAAGACCTGCTTGCCTTCTATGAGCAATCAAGCCTTTTTTTTGCAGAAACACACACTGAGCATTTCAATAAAAATATCCCAGAAAGCATGATCCAGACGTTCCATACAACACGAGAAGAGAAGACAGCTTTGTCAGATCACAATCGCAATTTCATGGCATCTGAACAAGACAGTATCCCTTTAGCCTCAGTGAAATTATTTCTTCAAGATGATGTTTTTCTTTTAAACCATAAACAGGACAGATGCAAATAGCTGGGAAGAGGGTGAGGCTAACTTTTCAAAACTCTTGAATTGTTTTCAGACACTTTGTTTTAATCTTTTTACAGTAGTGTACAATGAGTATTAACAATATTAACATTGTGGTATGAAAAAAAAAATAAATCTGGCCTTTGTTAAAGGCTTGGATGTCCTATGAAGCTAGGGTAAAATATATCTCAAGGAAGGTGTTATTAAGATTTCATCTTCAGTTGACATTCCAAAAACACCCGAGTGCCTTGCAGTGCCTTATACGCATTAATATACTTCTTAATAACCAGTGTGCTAGCATCTGAATTTTTAGGAGCAGTGGAACTGAGGTTGTGTTTTGAAATTAAGACATACTAAGCATGTTTTCTGCGTAAGTGTTAATGGGAACAAAAGATCTTAACGTTTCTTCAGTGATCCCGAAAAACTCTCAACCACAGCAAGTAACACTTGGGTTGCAAAGGTCACTTAAAAGGGATACTGCCTATTTGAACCCAGTAAGGCCAGTTTTTAAGTTAGTAAAAGGAATATTATAAGAAAACTTACAAATGGCAGCAATACTGTGTTTTTGTCAAGTTAAGCAGTAAAGCCTCAAGCATTAGAAACATGAAAAAGATCATACTAAAGTCTTAAAGGTACAGGACCTAAAAATCTTGTCAATCAAACCTGCTATGTCATGTTAAAAACCTGTTAAAAATATGGACCACGGTTAGTGTTTTGGCAGTAATGCTGGTTGTTTAAATGAAAAACTAGAAAGAAACCTTTCATGTTAAGTCCTCAGATCATGTTTTGCACATTACCATGCTGTTACAACTTTAATGGTGATTATTTGTCAGACATACAATAGGCTGCATGACTTCTGTGTAAACTAAAACAGTCCCAACAGTTCCCTTAGTGCTATTTAAAGGATCTGAGCAAATATCAACACAGCTTTTTAGCTGGCTTTAAAGGAAAACTTTTTACAACATACTGTAATTTGAAATTGTCTCAATTTAAAGCCTAGGATCAAGTTTCTTCTCTTGCAGACAAGAGAATATTACTACTGTGCAGTGGCAGCAAGGATACTCTTCTGCATGAGAATATGTATTTATTTATCAAAGCTATTTCTAACAGACTGGTATTCACATTTTGAGATAGCTAAAGTTCACATTGCATTTTCTATCTGTGTTTTGTAATTTGCAAGTATCTAGGTACTGCATTTAAAAAAATCTTGACCATCACTTGGATATAATCAAAATATATATTGCTTTCTGCAAAAAGAAGCCAAAATTTCATTTTTTTTTCCTGTTTAAAGTATTGAGTTCTATGGGGACAGTACTAAGCCTTTCTGGGAGGGCTAGATCCTGAGTTTTCTATCAGACAGGTATAATGGCTGGAAGGCTAAGTTTTTATAAAGAAACATATTTCTTCAGGTCATACAGAAGGGCAGAGGAGAGGAACAAAGGACATTTCCCTTTGTGGATAACCCAAGAGAGCTAACACATCTGCATGGCATGGGCTTCTCTCTCTTCTTGTATTTGAGCACTCAGAAGAAAGTGGGATGAAAGCAAAAGTCATGGTTGTTTTCTAGGGCAGCAAGGCTTTGTGCCATCTTACTTTCTGTCTACAGACTCTAATCAAATGTTTATTAAGTAACTTAAAGTATGGCCTACCAGTGTAAGCAAGTTGTTCCAAAATGTTAAATCATGTAACTTGTCCATGAAGGGTTTCTTTTAGGAAAAAACAATAGGGAACATAATATATTGACAATCTTTCACGAAATTTAAAGAGCAAAATGCAAATTCATATGGATTTTAAGCAATCTTAAGAGTATAAGCTACAAATGTAGTAAGCATTGGCCTAATCCTACAAAACTTGTTCTTTCCATAAAATTTCAATTGACTATGGTAAGGAAAAATACAGGATGCAGTCTCAGCATTAGAAAGACTCAAACCAATTTTTATCAGGTGGTAACTGGTGATAGGGTGAAGAGCAGTGCAGTAATATGACTGAAAGGAAGAGCTGCAAGCCTATCTTTAGCCATATTGACAAAACTAGCTCACCTTCCCTGAGGAGGACCTGAAGTCATCCAGCGCAGATAGTTGTACTTTTAACCTCATGACTTTATCATGTATTTTTTAAAAAAGCTAAATTTGAGAACTGAACAAAAAGTCTTTTTTTGTTTTTCACTCACTGTATTCCCAAACATGAGAAAATACGTAGCTGGAGCCAAGGTACATGAGAAAAACAACGAACCAGCCATGTGTACAGCTACAGTAGACACCTGATTTTTTAAGCCATGCCATGGCTTTGAGTAGCTTCTTCAGTTTTCATAGTATATTAATGCATGCCCAATTATTTCTTTAAGCTTTTGGCAAGATCAAAATTATATCAATCCATTGCCAGTGTACACATACCAATGCTTTGCATTTTCTTGCTGTTTTTTTCTTTTTTTTTTCAAAGAGCTAGTGTATTGTGCCATGTGAATATTTGCATATTGCAGTTGTTAGCAGAACTGTACAATACCAGCAGAGTTGCACATTCATTGGTTTAGCTGTCTTGCAATACTGTTTAGTTCTGAAAACTAGGAAAAAAGCGCAAATCATATTTTGATCAACACTATGCTACACTGTCATATAGTAATTTACTGCACCAATCTGTATCACCAATGAGGTTGTATAAAAACAATTTCTAAAATTATTATTCACAATCAAGTATCAATGTGCATACATATAGATTCAAGGCTCCCCATTTGTTTAGATTTTTTCCTAATCTCATCAACCAGGACATTTTGCTGTTAAATTTATTTTCTTTCATAAATAGCAACAGCACAAGTTTTAATAATGTGGGTGGTTTTGTATGAAAGAAACAAAGGGAGAACCTGATATGAACCTTAGAGATCATATACTTCCAAAAATAAATGTGCTAAATCTGATTTTTATATACTTAAAATATCTGTACACAGGTTTTCCTGTGAGATCAATATTTTGTAAAAAATCCAACTCAATCCTTTTCTTACAATAGCTATATTTAACCTATTTTCTCAGCTTTTTCATTGCACAGTATATTCAGAGCTCTGTTTCATAATATAATTTAATATGATTTGATTGCAACACATTGCAATGTTCAGTTTCTCACACAATAAAAACATCACTCAGTTACCTTTTCAATGGACTATACTCTACCATCAAAGAAAACAAACTGAAAAACAGTAACATAGCATCATCATCATGCAAAATACCCCTGGAAACCAACGTTCAAATATTACAAAGACAGTTTTTATTCACAAGCATTTTTGTTTGAGCCTTTGAAGGATTTGGCTAGCTTTATATATAACTGCATTGTGAAAAGGAGGTGAATTTTACACTGAAATTAACATTTTGCTGACAGAAGATGACACCAAGTTTAAGATGAGAATCACTTCTTAATTAAACTCTCAAGCACCTTTATATTTTAAAAACAGAAGTATCCTTCCTTCCTTCCTTCCTTCCTTCCTTCCTTCCTTCCTTCCTTCCTTCCTTCCTTCCTTCCTTCCTTCCTTCCTTCTTCCTTCCTTTATCAACCTAACAAAACTTAGCTAGCTACATGGTTCATTTTGGAAGAATAAACCCCTTGTCATAAAGCATTTCAATCAGGCTGAACTTCTGATGAAGTCTAGCCAATATTTTCATTTTCTTCAACTAGTTTGGACAAAACTGAGGTTCAAAGCAGCTGTCAAGGTGCTAGCAATGTGTACTGGGCAGTACATTTTCTTTTTTCCTTTTTTCTTTTTTTTTTTTAAGTAATCGTTCATGTAAAAGAATATAAATCTTCAAGATATCCAAAGCTTAAAAGAAATGAAAGTCATACACATAAGCTATCATCAGGGGAGCCCTTTTACATGAAGTCATCAAGATTACAACAACAAACAAATGAAAAAAAAAAATTCTTAGATTCCCCAATGGAGCACGTACAGAATTCTGTTCAGATGGCATAGATGATGCAGCATTCACACATGTTAAAGGATCCGACACTCCAACATGCAGCCACCGTGGGTGCCTTTATGAGTCTCACAACGAGTGATAACCAGACACGAGCATTGCTGTTTGCTGCTGTCTGAATAGCTGACCCTTTTTAAAATGAAACTGAGGCTGTCATTTTGGCCGGGTCTTGATTAAGTTATGCAGGTTTTGGTTTAGCAAGGTCATAACTGGCAGTGTCTGCTGCCAGATAACAGCCAAAGCAGGACCAACTGAATTCCTACCATAGACCACAGTGATGGACTCAGACCAGAGACACCACCACAGTCGGCCGAATCTTCCTGTTGACAAGAAAAGAAGAAATCATTTAACATGAATTACAAATAAATTTGCTGAGAAGTAATCTACATTTTAATCGTCAACATTTTGAACTATCCTTGAGGCATCCTTTTTGGTCTTATATATGTTACATTGCCTAAAATAACAGCAAAATAATTCCTGGAAGTTTGTCTTATTTTTGATACAAAGAGTGGCATTACTACATGAACTTATTAAGCATGGGAGGATTAAATACTTACAAGGTTTACTGCAGTCACTTATGAACTGGATGGGATACTTACACAATCAAACAAGAAATTCTATGGGATATACCTGGGGGCCCCACATCTATGTTCCTAAAAATTATGTCAATTTTGATTTGGGGCATTTCTTTATTGTGAAGAAAGATGGAAGAACAGATAACTTTTCAATAAAAGAAAACAAATACCAGAATGTGTTCATGTCCATTTCATCAACATCATCACATTAAAACAAATATGCTCTGTAGATGAAGATATTATCAAAGAGAATGAAAACCTTTTCTTTGGCTCTATTCAAGTACTAGAACCAAATATTCTATTGGCTTTTTGTACACATTTGATGCAGTCCGTAGAGAAGACCCCATCCATTTTGAGGGCTTGCTCTGAGCTGCACCGCTCTGTCATGCGTCACTGGAACTAACTATTAATTATGCCACACAGCAATTACACTTCTTTTCCCCATTTCTCTTTACTGTTAACTGCTGTTATTTGGTCCCACTTTGCCTAGAACATGTAATATCTCTCACACCATGGACTTATCCATTATTTTGGCTGAAACACACCTGATAACTCTTCTGGAGTCTGTGACATCTTCACACCTTCTTGTTTCTCAGGACTCACACAATCTATGCTTAGCTGTCTAAAACACCAAGGCAATGTTCCAGCCATCCCCTGCACTGCTTTGTCTATCAAGTCTGAGATCGTGGGTAGCTCTGAAGGCTGAAAATATTTGACCTTCTTCTTGTTTTCACTGTATTCTGTACCGATAGTATAAAAAGACCCTTTCCATTTATTTGTGCCAAGAGATCCTGAGCCTCCAATGACAAGACAACAGTGTAGGTAGGAAGGGACTTGGGTATATTAGGAACTGGAGAAATTTCTTGAACAGGAGGAACATGTGCAGGGAAGGATAGGCTGCACCTTAACTGTAACGGAGCCCAGCTGCCAGCACAGAAATTAAAAGGTTTTAAAACAGAAAGCAGAGGAAAACCAATGAGCATGGAACAGCCCCTGGTTCAGAGTTGCATCCCACTGTGACAGATGTGCCACAGTTAATACTCAGTGTGCCTCAGAAAAGGCTGGAGTGATAGGGGTAAAAAGTATCTTCAGGATAAATAAAGAAGGGTCATTAAAACACTTTTATTTTACTGGCACATCCTTAAGCAAAACTTTCAAGTGCTGCTACACCAATGCTAGAAACAAAAAAATAAGATGGGGGAATGAAGTCATCAATGAACCATTCCAAAACAATACATGTATCAGAAACCTGGTGGAAGGAGAATAATCAGTAGGACAGTGCATTTTCAGGCAACCAACTTCATAAGGATGGCAGAGTAGGACATAACAGCAGAAGGGTAAAAGGATAATACAAAGTGTAACAGCATGAAAGTTTTACAGGAACAGGAAAATGTGATGGAATCTCTGTGGGCAAGAAATTTCCGTCTAATAATAAAAAATTTATACTGGAATTGCACTGCTGACCACGTATCAAAGTGACAATATCAATCATGAAATGTTATGTGAGATCAGAGAAGACACATACAGACTAGATTGATGCCTTATCAAAAAGAGATGCAGAGATCACATATTTGGATATATGTGACTGCCTTTTGGAGCAAATAATCTTTAGTGGTGCACAGGGCCCTCTTCAAATTTATTTGTGAAGAGCTGCTTTGTATAGCTCTAATAGTTCTGTAGACCACAATGCAAAAGGATTTAGTTTTGTTATGTGAGAGATTAGGCCAAACAAATTAAAAAAAAAATGATTTCAAGAAGGGGAACTATGTGAAAATAACCACAAGCAGTTAAAAAAAAAACAACCTACAATCCCAAAACCAAGAAAACAGAAAAAAAGCAAATCTCTCACAAGGATCCAGAAGAATGTTTAGGAATATTGCATTAGATAACCAGGTACAACGAATGTCACAATTAGAACAACAACTCCTCCAACTCCCACCGCTCTCCTCCCACAAAATCCCAACCCCAAAACAAATGAAAAAAATACCTCCATCCCCAAAGCAAAAACCAACAAACAATAAATCCAAAACCCCAAAGACACAACCCTGCATGAATCAGTACAGAAATTCAGTCCAATGTCATAGAGAAAAGGTCAGTATTTAAGAAATCAAGTTTACTCAAATGGGCAAGAACAGGAAAGCACATAAAAACGGCAGATTAGATATAAACAGGAAATTAGTAGGGCTGATAAAGAATTTTTGATGAACTCCTGCAAAATATGCTAAAAATGGTAGTAGAAATTTTTTAACAAAAAAAGCCAAATATGGAGTTAGGGCAATTCCTTGATAACAGAGGCGCAAAGAAGGGACTTGGGGGTTATTGGGCATACATAGCAAAAGACTTCAATGAGTTCTTTGTGTCAGTTTTAAGGGGTGAAGACTTTAAAGAGGTTCCCACCACATACAATGCATTCTTTAAAGCAGAGCGGTCAGAGCAACCAGATCGGTTTGCAATAAGTATATAGAAAATCAGATAAAGCAGCCAAATCAGTCTCAATAAGTCACTAGGAATGATAGCATTCATCAACAGTCTCCTCTAGAAACCTGGATGTAAAAAAAAACCAAACACAAAACAAAACAAAACCCAGCATTCAGGTTCTTAAAAAGGAAAAGAAAAAAAATCATTCTGCTCTAAAGCAAATAGCTCATGTTAGCTGCCATTCTTTACCAACAGTAGCCATTTCCAGACACATCTCTGCCATCTGTTAGCTTTATAATCTAGTTCAAGCATTTTGGCTTAGGCTTTTTTTTTTTCAGTTGATTGCAGCCTGCAAGTTCAAAATCCCTAAGGTTTCCAGTCAACAAGTAAGTAATAAATGAACTCTACTACACCAGATTTGGGGTAGGATGCTAAGATTTGAAGATGCACTGAACTTTCTGGTTTATTTAGTTTGGCTCAGTCCTTTTTGCATCTGCATTGTGTCTTGTCATGTAGCTTTATTTCTATTCAAAGCACCTAAAAATATCCCGGTTGCTTCTTCCTTACAGTGTGTACCATCAGAAACAGAATTATAAGTAAAGGTTTCTTCTCACATAAATTCAATGAACACTACACAGTGTTACCTCTTAGTATTGAAGATTCTTATCAGTGAAATTATTTAGAAGAGTCATTTTTTGAAGAAATAGTCTAAAGTAAAGCACAAGATTTAAAACTTTCCAACAGAGGGGAGATGTCTGGAGAGCAAGTAAGAAGTAAATTGAATGTCTTAAAAAAATTGGTTATAGTAAGATGGAGAAAATATCATTACTGTGAAACTAGCACCCAGTTTGAGCACAGGGTAGATGGACCTCCACATACAGAATTAGACAGTACTCAGCTTTCATGTCACCTTTGCATTAGACCAGTATTGGGTAAATTATGTTGATGAATTAATCCTACCAGTATATGTACTTGAAAAAGAACCCATTCTGTTGTCCATTTCTATTTGCTTTTTGAGATTTTTTTAAAACTACATAATAATTTCTTTGCATTGCTTTTACATTCCATGGTTATACTATGCAATCTATTGGATTGAAAAGAAATATTTCAATATCTTTTGCTTTCTCCCTAAGACTACACAGAGCAGTTTTTAAAGGATTTACATCACAACAATGAAAAAATAGACAAGGTTTATACACATATTCCAAGTCTGGTGAGATTTTAACCTCATATTGATCAAAGTCACATTGAATTTCTGAGGTTTGTAGACTAATTTACAGTGGAAAACCAGCAGTTCTGTCTAGAACAATTTCTGAACATTCTGTCTGGCATCAGTTATTCTTTTGTGCCCTAAGCCAAGGCAAAAATCTTAGTGGTAAGGAAGGTAAAGTAAATCCTATCTAAATTACGTTTTCCTCCTCAACATTGCACATTGTAATTTTCTTGTCTGATTTAACTGTTGTTAAAATTACATGAAATGTTAAAAAAAAAAAAGAGAGAGAAAGTTTCATTACATGCTGGTTTACATAAATTCAGAAACATCAACAGTTTTATGGAAAGGAATGGAATCCCATTAGTACTTTGGAACTAGATTGAGCAAAACATTGGTTTTGAATGGTATTCAACATGAATTTTTGGTAAACACTTCTACTCCTGAGCTTTAAGAAAACTTCTCAACTGTTTCCTATAATTGCTAAGCTTTCTTATAAAATTTCTTATAACAAATTACATAGCATCATTTTATCTTATCTTTACCTTGTCTTATCTTTATTCTGTCAGTGTAATGAATTTTTAAGCAGTTTCACTGAAATTTTACAGCCCATGACATTAGTCACTACTACACTAATCACACAGAAACCTTGAAGAACCAACAGACCAGTTAGGGATATCCTCTTTGTGGTCTTCAAAATAGTATTCTGTATACTATTTCTTTTTGAAGACTGAAAGAATTGGAAAAGAAATGGGAAAAAAATCCTCTTTAGTCAGTTTCTCTTCTTCAGAAGTGTATCAGAAATTTCTTGCATTAATAATTCACACGTCAAATTTCCTTGCACACTTCAGGTACAGAAGCATCAAATCCAAATGTCATCTCCTTCACGTCATGCCTTACTATGATAACTCTAGAAAAGGTTATTTTACAACATCACAAACCATGAAAATTATTCAGCACTTGCAGAATGGAAATGAATGCTTTTATAAAACCATATATTCATTACTAAGTATCAAACCCACATATTCATTGCTATATATCACAATTTCCTTGAAGGTGTGCCAGTCTAGAATTTTAAAGACACACATGGAAATATAAATACATATATATACACATACATGTCTAAGTCTATACGCATATTTGTTAGTCCTTTAGAAGTACACTATCACTATCTAACGTACTAAAACTTTGTATAAAAACTTAATAATTTAACAGAACTCATTGTGCTACACTGACTATAAAAAGGATGAAACAATATCTGCCAAAGAGCTTCTGATGTGACTTTTGATATCAACTGGTTACCTCAAAGTTGCACCTTTTATAGGCCTATCTTTTAAATGCTTCATATTGCATGGAGAACACCTTTGTTCTTACTTCAAGAGCCATTTCAAGTTCCAACTTTGCGCTATGCTCCTTTGCTTGGACTACCACACAGAACTGTCCGAGCGGTACAGCTACTCATACACAGATCAGGGGTTCAGCCCAACCCATCAAGATGTGTACAGCTGCCTGGGCCTCACCCTCAAAGCTCCCACTGACATCCCTGGGAGCTGGTGGAAATAAGACATTTCCCAAAGTGGTTAAAGACTCATAGAGTTCTCTTTCTTCTCAGGCATGGCAAACAAATCAGTGTGCAGATACAAAGTAAGAGCAAGCTATTCAAAGGAGTGAAAAAGACTGATTTGTTATCCTTAATTAAAAAAATAAAGAAAAAGTTGCAGTTATTAAACCTGATCAGTTGGTTTATATCTGTGTTGGCTTCAGTGAGTTTAATATAACTACAAAGATTAATGCCCAGTGAGAACCCATCTCCAAAATCACAAAGTTATTAAAAACAGCATGGATGAAAAAAATTACCTTTATACCTGTCTGCTGCCAAAAGTTTATCAGCTAAAATTATCTTTCATGGGTTTCCCAGTATTTTGGTTTGCCTTCTTGAGCAGAAAGGCAATTTTGGATATAAAGAATTCAGCTCAAGGTGAGTCTCTGCTGCTTTACATAGATTGGACAGTAGCTTTTTAATTAAAAAAAGGTTACTTGTAGAGCAGAGCAAATTGCATGAGTAAGAACATGAGATGCCAATCTTCTGCATCTCAGTGTAAACTACCACTGGCTTGGGGGAAAGGACTTTCAATCTTCCTTAAAACTTTCAGTCATGGTTGTGCCAGTTCCAAGGTTTTCTAGAAATTAGACAATTTACACACAGAATAGGAAACTTCAAAATTACTCAAATATAGCTATTAAACAGAACTTGAAGCTTTTTTTCACTGTGTTTGAGTGATATGAATTGAACCTTCTCACAAGTATAAAGAGAAAGTAAGTCATTGAGAAATGAGTGTTCCAAATTGTTACAATTTTTAACTACAGTAACTCTGAAAAATGACCTCTAAGGTTCCATTTCTGCCTCTCAGTTGGATTTATTTTGATAGATATGTTAGTATCTCCCTCTAGTGGTTTTCTAAGTAATAATATTGATCAGAAACCCTCCAGTGTATTAGGTCATGAATTTTATTCTCAGTAAACCATCAGTTCTCTTACATATATGTCACTAACACAGCAGTGCACACTCTCATACCATTAAATGCAACAGAGTCTAGATGCCAAGGTTTTTTTTATGAACCCCAGAGTCTGCACTAGGCCAACATGCAGGACTTCATGTATCCAGGTATTTCATTAGGGGGAAAAAAAAGGTCTTCTGCTGTAATTAGGCAATAATGTTTAGGTTGCAAAAAATGTGAAAGTGAAAAAATATAAACTTTATTTATTATATAAAATAGATTTACACTCAATTCATAGTTTAACCAAATTGATGCACACTATTACCTTCCATCATTAACATTTGTGTTAATTGAATGCAGTGAAAACTCCTTACTCTTCTTAATACCAACACTCCCGTTATTCTTATACAGAGCACTCATCTTTGCTAACCCTAAATACAGCTTTATTGTCAGAGGTATTATAGTCTCTTCTAATTTGTAACTTTGTTTAGTTTTGTGCAGAAAACTTTGTTCTTCTGTTTCATTTTAACAGGGACAAGGGAAAAATATTCTGAAGGGAATGCCACTGACTCAGCTGGTACATGTGCAAACTCAAAGAGCTGACTATATAAACCCAACAGGTTCCCATGTTTCTATTTGCTATGGGAGAGGTCCCTGTGTTCTGTAATTCTGATTTATAAGGATTCAGACAGGGTTTTTCATATTTAATTTCCCTTAATATTGCAATAATAATTAGCTCCAGATTGTTACTTTTGAGACTCACTTCATTCTGCTTTCTTTTGTATGCTTAGTAAGTAAAAATGTCTGCTAATTTTTAAGCCAAGAACAAAACAAAAAATTAGAGAAAGTAACTGACCATCCACACCACATGAAAACTTGCAGAAAAATGAAGATAGGAGCGGACGTCATGGCAGAGGCACGACTCGTTGTGCATATAGGCTGATCCTATTAATAACGGGCAAAGTAGCAAGTAGAGGAAAGGAAAGAAAACACAGAAAAAAAGACATACAAGATGAGATATCATGCAGATTGCTGGCAGTTAGCAGAGTTAATGTGAAAGCATCCACCCAAGAGCAAGAGATTCACAGCAAATTTTGCAAATAAACTTAACCAAAATAATCCACTGTTACAAAACACATGACTTACACACTGATTAGCACATCAAGCTAGTGAGCAAGAGTTGTACTTTCACACACAATTGTATCAGGAGGATTTGGAATATTTACAGTGGCCAAATAGCTTTAACTGTCTGGACTTTTTTAACACTACTGATGTCTCAGGAATTGTGCCTCACAAAGAAAAGCAGTAAATATACTGGAACAAAACCTGGTATGCAGCAATTATAGCCAACTATCTGCACTAGTTTTGGACAGTCTTTCCTTTCCAGAAAAAAGATAAGGCATTAGAAATGAATTTTTAGAAACCTTTATTTTATATAATAGCAGGCACTTCCTTGTTCAGTACTTTCTGTCTTGAAATTTATTCTGAACAATTTGAATTAAACATATTCTCTTTCTTACAGTATTTTGAAAGGTAAGACAGAGAGTCTATTCAAAAGAATTTATATATGTGGCACAGTTATAATTTTCTTTTTCAAAACTGTAATGTGTATAATATAGGGAGTAGTAAATTGTATAGTTTTGTTGGTTTAGGTAAAGCAATACATCTTTCTACCTGTTAGGATTATGACCTAAGGTCAATACACATTTCTAAGAGGAACAATGTCCTAAACAAGATGATATGATATTTTTAACCATTTAAGAACATCTTAAATAATATTTGGAAACACTAATATAAAATTTCTACTTCTAAGCCAGGATTATAATCTATTTGTGAAAGCCGTAGAATTGAATTTCACAGCACTGTAGAGACCATCAGTTTTATGCTTGCTGATGGTTTTTAAGTGGGAATCATGTGTGAAAGCTCAATGATTATAGGAAATGCAGATAAGAAAGCAGCTGTTAATTTTATGTAAATCATGAGATACTTGAAATAGAGTGGCTATGGTCTAGAGTGAACAGTATGTTTAGTGATAGATAGTTTACCAGGCACCAAAGTATGTTTAAACATAGTTTTCACTGCTCGTCTAAAACAGCTCAACAACTATTTTTAACCATAATTCTAGAGTCTTGGAAGTTCAATTTTACCTGTTTGGCTTCATCAAAACAGACATCAGGACCCTTTCTGTATCGAGGTTGTTTGACCATTTCACAAGGATTTGGTCCCTCATCTGGATCTTTGGTTAAGGAGAATGACTGTTTTTTGTGCATTGTACATTAGCAGGATTAACACTCTGGTTTTACTTCTGTGGGAGAAGAAAAGTGCTTTGCTAATTCATAGTACTGAAAAAAACATCAATAGTCACAGTTCCTTGTTTAAATTACAAAAAAACCAAAACCAACCCTCCAGATAAACAGAAATCAATAACCTTTTGTTTACACTGCTTTAATAAAGAAAATAAACATCCTGCATGGTGTTTTTAGAATGAGTATTTGCAGAAACGTATACAAAATAAAAATAAAAGCTGAGGGGTTTTTTAGGATTTTCTATATTGCTTTTATTACCATTGCATAAATGTTACAGAAGATATCTGATAAAGTAGTAAGCTTTCACTGGTGCTGAATGGTTATAATATATGGAGCAGATAATTTTGAGTGCCATGTTGGCATGTCCAGGACAATCAGAAGATCAGGCCCAGTCAACATGAGTTTATGAAAGGCAGGTCCTGCTTGACTATCCTGATCTCCTTTTATGACAAGATGACCCACTTAATGGGTGAGGGCAAGGATGTGGACGTTGCTTACCTGGACTTTAATAAAGCCTTGAAACCGTTTCCCACAGCATTCTCCTGGAGAAACTGGCTGTGCATGGCTTGGACAGGTATACTCTTCACTGGATAAAAAATTGTCTGGATAGCCAGGCCCAAAGAGTGGTGGTGAATAGACTTGAGTCCTGTTGGAGGCCAGTCACAAGTGGTGTTCCCCAAGGCTCAATGTTAGGGCCAGTTCTGTTTAATGTCTTTATCAATGACCAGGACAAGGGGATTGAATATGAGCCACCAGTGTGCCCAGGTGGCCAAGAGGGCCAACAGCATCCTAGCTTGTATCAGAAACAGTGTGGCCAGCAGGATCAGGGAATTGATCTTCTGGTGAGATGGCACCTCAAATACTGTGTTCAGTTTTGGGCCCCTCACTACAGGAAAGACATTGAGGCACTGGAGCATGTCCAGAGAAGGGCAACAAAGCTGGTGAAGGGTCTAGAGGTCTTATAAGGAACAGTTGAGGGAGCTGGGGTTGCTTAGCCTGGAGAAAAGGAGGCTGAGGGGAGACCTTATCACTCTCTACAGCTACCTGAAAGGAGAGTGTAGCCAGGTGGAGGTCAGTCTCTTCTCTCTGGTAGCTAGTGATAGGACAAAGGGTAATAGCCTCAAGTTGCACCAGGGGAGGTTTAGATTGGATATCAAGAAAAAAATCTTCACTGAAAGGGTTGAACGGGCTGCCCATGGAAGTGGTCAAGTAACCATCCCTGGAGGTATTTAAATGATGGGTAGATAAAGTGCTTAGAGACATAGTTTAGTAGCAGACAGGCTATGGTTGGACCCAATGAAGCTAAAGGTGTTTTCCCATCAAATGATTCTATATATCACCATTGAGTTATTCTGCTAATATGAAGATACACAGTAAGAGCAAGGAAGCCTGTTTGAAAAGTAGTGCTATATACAGACTGAAAATTACAGAGAAGGCCTATAAGAAGCACTGGTTTACCCCAAATATCATAGACAAGATCATCCACTGTAGGCTTTGATAGTAAATGACAGAAAACCTAATTACATCTCATTAGCATTTCAGTGATGAATACAGCAAAAATGCTCTCCAAACTAACAACAGAACAGCGGGATAGAAATAGGAGCAGTGACATGCTATTAATTAGCTAACTGTAAATGTGAGATAATAATAATGTGAGGTAATTACAAATGAAATTTGTAATTGCTGATATTTAATTGTAAATTATGTACTTCACATTTGCCACAGACTAACAAGGGACACAAGTCATTGCAGCATACTTGAAAGGCATGGATATAGTGTCCTGGTTTACTGGAACAGAATTTTGGAGTCAGTTTTCTGTTGAGGAAAACTGCGAACTTTTAAGGACTACAACACTATTTCATGGGAACAAACTGACAAAGTTGTTATAGGTTTCAGCTAATGTTGGTGCGTGATGATCAAGGTCTTCAGCAGTCTTGAGATAAACAGGTGCAGAGGCTGGGGGGAGTGGAAGCCCAGGGGAGTTGACCACAATATGACCCCAGGCTGACCAATTAATACAATTCCATACCGTAAACGTCACATTCACTCTAAACTGGGGAGTTTGCTGTGGACGGCCCTTCTCCTTCCTTCTTCTTCTTCCATCTTCCGTGGCTGATGTCTCGAGAGGGACTTGTTTATGGTCTTACCCCTAAGGCCTACTCCCCTACAATATTGGCTGAGTATAACTCTATGTACATTATATTAAGAGTTATTAATATTAATTTTTTATTATAATTCCATTAAATCTATTTCTAATTCAACCCACAAATATATTTTCCTTTTCCCAAGCCCCCTCCCTGGGTTGGGAGGAGGTGTCAGGTGACAGAGCAACTGTATAAACCATGGCATACGATAAACTCCAATCTATCTCCTGTTGAAATCTGCTTATATTACCATGTATGTTAAGCTTTTTTATTCCACTGTTGGTAGTACACACATTAAAGCTAAGCTAGAGTGTTTTAAAAAGATTAAGCACCAAATATTTTCTTACCTTTGTAGCTCTAACTTATATTTGAAGCAATCCTAGTCATACACTACTGTGGAGTACTACAGCAGCTTCATTGCAATGAGAGGAGATGCCCAATGTAAGAGAAGGCAGAGAATGGGCAATTTAGTTCTACAGGACTACATCTGTCTTCATTCAGAAGTTATCAGGCTCACCTCCCCTTTCCTCTGCTGGGGCCCAGCTGAAAGGGAAGTCAAAATGTAGAAATATTCTAAAAAACCATGTGCACAAGCAAAGCTGTAGCATCCAGGAGGAAGCAGAGTCTAATAATAACCATCTGAACAGCACCCAAAGGTCACTCTGCCTGCTTGTGTGTTGTTATGCTACATCTGCATTTCACAATGTACCTTAGTTATAAAAAAGAGAGAACAGCTTAGTACTTCATAGTTGGAACAAAAATAATATAGTTCATTCAGTCAATATAAGCCCACCCAGCTGCTCTGGCTGCCATTTGAGGTCATTTACTGCTCTCTAGAAAGTTTGAGCCCCACAGCGAAATGCAAGACATGTGCCCATTTCCCATCAAACGTGGTTCATTTTCTATGGCAAGTGCTGTCTATAAATTCAGACAGTGGCAACAGTTAATCAAACTGTGATGGCCTGGAGCCAATTAGAATATTAGGCTGTGTTTACATAGTTCTGTGATGACATGGATATTACTTCAACCCCAATGTAACTTCCTTTTCAGCCCAAGCATAGATGGAATTCCAGTTTTATTAATGTGGCATTGAACGCATTGCTTGTGCCAAAGAAACACCACCACGATCTGCTTTTCTTTCAGAAATAGGAGAGGCTGTGTCAACTAGCTTCCTGACATGGACAAAGATATTACTAAGTGTTTTCCATATTCTGTCATAATAATCCAAATTATTATTTGATTTACCATCTCTGTCATATTATCCGCAAGCATCTATAGCAGAGAAAATTTAAGGTGAATTTCTCTTGACCTAGATGATGTGTATGTTGGTTTTATTGCATTTCCATCATCATCACCTACATGTATATACTGGACTGAACAGGCTAGGGGCATAGAGATTGGCATGAAGATGGTTGTAAATTAGAACAACCTTTCACATGCTTTTAATTTTAATGCATGTGTTGCAAGGACTCTGTTTCTCATGTATGTCATGTATGTCTCCAGCCAGCTCAAAAGAAATTCTATGACAGCAGCTGGATCAACTCTAGCCTTTGTTGGCTAAAGCAGTTTCCACAAGGAGTAAACGGTTCTCATTGGCACTGAGGACACACTAAAGTGCCTCCATCACTTTGCCTCAGTGCTGCAGGCATCAGGGTAGCATCCCAATTTTTCAAGACCAAACACTCTTTATCTTGGTGTTGTCCTTCTTTTTGTTATTTCTCTAGATAGATGTACCCTTGTTTTTTCTAAAGGATTAATATACCCAGGACTCTCAGGCTCCCCTTTTGCATGTCCTGTGCTCCAGATGACATGCATCTTGGTGGCCCTTCACTGGACTTCCTCCAGTATGTCAGTGTGGTACTGGGGAGCCTCAAACTGTACACAGCACTCCAGATGTGGTCTCACCAGTGCTGAAGAGATGGGACCGAACAATTCTCTCAACCTACTGACTACACTCTCACTAACATAGCCCAGGACATGACTGGCCCTCTTTATTGCAAGGCACAGTGTCAAATGATGTTCAACTTCTTGTCCATGATGATTCTTTTCTGAAAAGCTGTTTCTAGTCACTCAGCCCTCAGCCTGTCCAGCTGCATGTCATTATTCTGTCTTGGGTCCAAGACTTCGCATCTGCCTCTTGGAAACTCCATTAAGTTCCTGTGAGACCATTTCCGTTTAGGTCCTCACAAGTAACAGCTTTGCTCTCTACCTCAACGATTGCTGCCTCAGATGATTTGTGAAATCATCCACAATATTGGCTGCTTAACTTACTTCTATGGCAACCATGCTACTGATACGTACATGAACAGGCCACTATTTTCCAAATATACTCAAGTATATTATTGCCAAAAATCAATCCACACCACTAAATAAAGTGATTTTAAAGGATACCCGGCTTCTCTGCTTGCATCAGTGGCTTTGGGTCACAGGAGCGGCACAGCAGTTGGCTGTCACTAATAATGAATACTAGATTGGTGTTTGAAATCTTCTCTGCATGATAAAGTCTGGGAAAAAAAGTAAAAAAAAAACCCCTATGTTTAAATGAAGCAAGGAAATCCGTATTTGAGAATGATACATAGTATTGGAATAAAAGTAATCTAACTTCACAGAGCCAGTCTGCCTGCTACTGTTTATCTTTTCCATTAATGAACGGCAAGAAACATTTATAACAAATTTTGTAATCCTTTTGACATTTCCATAGTTCCCCCTTTCAACTGAACTTATTAGTGGAAAAAAAAAAGGGGGGGAAAAATTCATTGCTAGCTCTGTACTGCTACAACAGTAAATGTTCCAACAAATAAAATCAGTTCAGCATCAATTCTTCCTCTAACAACACTAAGGACACCCCCATTCACAAAACAAACCCCAAAACAAACCCCCAAAACCAAAACCCCAACACATAAACCTGCCTGTAAGAAAGGAGAGAAAGAGGTTTAGGGTATGTAGTCTGTGTATTGGATGTGTATTTGTTGTATTTTTATGTACATATAATTCCACAGAAGGCCTTTAAGTTAGTAGGGTCATTTTCAATTTGTAAGTAATTGAACAGGCAGTATTACATCTTTAATCTATAGATACTACACTTCATCCCTTAGATACTAAAAGTACAGATATTTCTGGATTTTTCAAGGATAATTTTAATGTACAACTTAAATTTACTGGAAAGGCAGACAGACCTTCAAAAAAGCAGAGAAAAAAAATCTTAATATTTCTTAGTCATTAATTAAATATATTCTACCTGTCAAAGAGAGGTAAATTCAGGACAATCTAACAAGTTAATTGCTTTTAGTGGATTCTAAATACATTTTCATACACAACACACATATAAAATAACAAGCAAGTCTCTTCATGTAGGTGGTTACCACTCTACATAAGCATAGCTTTATTACTTAGGTGTGAATTGATCTGATTATTTCTGAAATTTCACAGATGGCTGGGTACAACAGGAGGACAAAATACCTGTTAATTAAATAACTGATGTTGTGACTACATATTTGGTTGTTTTAACCAGCTTAAATTGTCCTTTCATACTCATTCCCACACTGTGGCACTCTTTCTGCAATGTCATTATAATAATTTCTGTAGTTCGTCAGTAAACCAAAGAACTCTTCTGAAAACTCTCCAAATTAAAAATAAAAAAACCAACAAACAAACCACAAGCAAAAGCCAAATCAAAAAACTTACAAAACCTAAAACCAAAAAGCCCAGATAATGAGTTCTCTGCACAACCAGGTATCACACAAACACGTACTAGCAACATGGAGGAGGAAGTGTGGAAGTGGGAAAAAATATTGTCTTCAAGGAGCTTAAAATCTGATTGTTAATTTTAATTTCTAAGAGATTTTCAGAAACTCCTAAGGTATATAAACTTTCAGCCCATCACACTTCTGTATGAAACGCAGAATTAGGCCCAAGTTGCTATGTTTCTGAAGTATTCCACTTTTTTAACATAGCATTAAACATCATCTTGAATAGGCACACAGAGCCTGAAGAATAATTCTTTGAATCACAAATCAAAACAGCATGGTTTGCTAAGACCCACAACTCTTACATCATGAGCACTATTGACTAGAAGGAAAATTTGAAGATAAATTGCATAATCTTCTTGACCATCAAAAATTCCAATACATAACGAGACTAAAGAAAATAGTATCCTTCTGAACATTGCAAAATGCCTTTTAGTTCACATAATAACTTAAAAGAAAAGAAATAGTTACAGAGATAGAAATACAATTATCATGGAGCCTTTTTTGCTATAAAGCAAAAACTTGACTAAAATATTGCTACAATTATTTAACTATTACAATTAAAATTCATTCTAACCAAATACAAAGGAAATGCAATTTATAATTTTACTGTCTATATACTTCTCTGTCTTGCTTATGTAAGTTTGGTCTAATTAATAAAAATATATTTTTGTTCTTATAAAAATGTCATTATCTTTTGTAAAATAATAACCCAAA